ATTGACCACACTCCCATATCATACGCGCAGTTAGTATTTCATAGGCAGTCTTGATTTTGGTGGAAACAAACAAGGCCTTATAGTTTGTTCGAGAAATTGGAGCGTTGAACAATTGCTTCTAGAAGCGTTCTAACGTGCGTAAGACGTGACGCAACTCTAGGCGTGACACCAAGCAAAGCTACAATTTTCCTCCCATATTAGTATCTTATTCTTTTTCTTCGTGGGCCGCTAGTTTTTTAGAACTTGGGAACAAAAATGACATTTATGTAAAAGGGACGATTGACAAGTATGATATTTGGTTTCTCAAGTCTAAAATCCGACAAGTGGTAAATTGTCTTGGTATCTTTTGAAAAATGATTCTTATTGAATTTATTGTACGATCAATTTTTGTTAGGTACTATTTATTTTTAATTTTTAATTTTGAAATGATTTCTGACCGTACGATATACGATGAACGATCACGATCACAAGATTTCTATGATCCCAAGAAAAGGATTAAGCGAGGATCATTTTCCATCTCTTTGTAACCTACTGCGTTTCGATTTAAATTTTTCTCCTATTTTTCGTGTAAATTAATATTGTTTATCTGTACAAAAAAGGGTAAAATATGACTTTTATTTGTGTGTGTCCATAGCTAATGTAGATAAAAATTGGGGGAGCCTGGAATTCAGATGAGTAAGGCCACAGAGATGCTTGATTTCCACTATTAACACAATCCCTCCTCAAGGGTAAATTGGAAAGTTTCCAATTTTGCAATTAAAAAAATGCGTTCCAAATCTGAAACTTTTCATGCAATAACATATTGTTCATATGATTTGAACTTATTAATGATTTTACAACAAAACAAAAGCCAAGTGTTATGAGTTATGACTTTGTATGAACATAAGATAGTGTTATTCACACACATTTTTTTACTTCCTACACACTCTTGTTAATTTATGTTCAATTTTAATCAGATCGTTAGAAATTAAAAGAAAATGTATAAGAAGTAAAAATACCTATGCCGATAGCTTCACCCTGAACATATATGTATAGCCACCCTAAGTTTTAATTTTATCCCTTATTTAAAAGGGTGGTTCTAAAACCCAGAGGCATCTTTACGACCTTGTTTTTGACTGAAAGATGTGAAGCATATCCGACCAAATTAACAAAGGACAATGTTCATACAATACGAAACTGTTAATGACTCCGACTGAGAGCGACAAGCTTCTTTTTCCCTCTAAGAACGGGGAATACAGCCCAAAGAGGAAACTACAAAACAACAACGGCCACAAAACAAGCCCGAGGGACTCCAACAACGTTGTCTATGAGGCTCATCAAATACAAGAATGCCAATATTTATCCATATTAAATAGTGACAAACTTGATCGAATTAATCACTAGTGTAATTTCAAGATAGTTACCATGGCAATAGATTAGACCAACAAAATTAACAGCTAGTTAGCTTCAGCTTGCTTACAAAACCCAGGAAATTGATGGGTTAATTTGTCTACGACGTTGAAGATAAGTTTGATCTTCTTGGATACCACAACCATCCAACAACTTCGATCTCCCAATTTCTTGTTACCATTGCAATTGAAAGGAACATATACTATAAAATTTGAAGTAATGTTAAGTATGCAACAAGCTGCTACAGCTAGTAATCCATTCAAATATCTGAAGCAATTTTTCAGTGTCCATACACGAAATACGGTCATGTGACGTTTTACTCAAACTATAACACATAGATATTCATTTTTATCAATATACTCTAGAAGTGTGACATATCAATCATGTTGTAAATTCATTTTTTATTAATATATGCTAGAATCCCAAACAATTTGATTCGATGTCAATACACAAAAATTTAAGATCATTTCTTCAATTTACTCTCCATTTCTAAGTTCCTAAGGTTGTAGCTTTCGCAGTAGCTTCATCGGTGTTACCTACCAAATAAAAGACCTGCTAATTATGACATATCAATCATGTCATCTACTCTTATTATAACACGTGGGGTGGTCCCAAAACCATGGATTTAGTCTTATTGTGTGTTAGTACTCTCAATTGGCTTCAAGAGCAGGTCGCTAGATATATTTAGTGACATCTACAGGGAGGCTCTAAAATAGATCATTTTGCTGGCTGTGTATCACACCCTCCGTTTCTAAATGGGAACACTGACTATGGTGCATGGAAAGCCAAACTCCTATATAATCTTAATTTTTTTTTTTTAAATAAACGATATTATCTACACTAAAGAGAGGGGATGGACTTAGTCTCACAATGAGCTAGTAATAATGTAGTTCAAATTAACCTTTGATGAGAATCGAACCTAAGACCACTCACTTACAAGTAAAGAAAAATATCACTATACCATAATACTAAGTGGATATATAATCTTAATTAGAATAAACCATTTTATTACAAATTTCACAATCTAAGCATAAAGCATATATGTAGAATATCCTTGATACGTACCCTCTGCGATTTCTTGTAATCCTCCCAAAACCTAGGTATAAACGTCCGTCCTTGTAATACTTGGCCGTCAATAATTCCTAAAAATGAGAGCCTATATATGAAATCATCATCACCAACAACACCAGCAGCAAACACACAACTAAGACTAAGAGTAAAGTACAAGGTCCCAGTTTTGAATTACCAAAATGGCCATAGCCGTGCTGCATGCTCTGGACTCAGCCAGGACACAATGGTACCACATAACGGCCATTGTCATCGCCGGAATGGGTTTCTTTACCGACGCTTACGACCTCTTTTGCATCTCCACCGTCTCCAAACTCCTCGGCCGCCTTTACTACTACAACCCTAGTACCGGAAAGCCGGGGAAGCTCCCAGTGAACGTCAACAACTTCGTGATAGGTGTTGCCCTAATCGGAACCCTATCGGGCCAGCTCGTATTCGGGTATCTCGGTGACAAGCTAGGCCGAAAGAAGGTCTACGGGATAACCCTAATCATGATGGTTGTTTGTGCCATTTGCTCCGGCCTATCATTTGGCTCCTCAGCAGGCTCTGTCATGACAACCTTATGCTTCTTCAGGTTTTGGTTAGGGTTTGGTATCGGTGGCGATTACCCTCTCTCCGCCACGATCATGTCCGAATACGCAAACAAAATGACTCGTGGGATGTTTATAGCGGCGGTGTTTGCGATGCAGGGTGTTGGGATCATTTTTGCCGGTTTGGTGTCTATGATCTTTTCGAGAATCTTCCTCAACATGTATCCTGCACCGGCATTCAGCGACAGCCCGGCGGATTATTCGCACGTGTTGTCCACGCAGCCACAGGCGGACTATCTGTGGCGGATTGTGCTTATGCTTGGAGCTTTGCCTGCACTTGCCACTTTCTACTGGAGGATGAAAATGCCTGAAACAGGTCGGTACACGGCCTTGATTGAAGGTAACGCCAAACAAGCAGCTGCTGACATGGGTAAGGTTTTGGAGATCGAAATCCAAGCTGAACAAGATAAGTTGGCACAGTTCAAGGCTGCAAATGAGTACTCATTAGTATCCAAGGAGTTCTTTAGGCGTCACGGAAAACACCTAATTGGTACGTACCTTTATATATATATATATATATATATATATATATATGTATGTATGTATGTATGTATTATTAATTAGATAAAACATTGAATCCGCATATTTTACGATTGAGAGTTTACTTAGGATGTTTCTCTAGATATATATCTTATCGATCGCTGTTTGCTATATGCCTCAGGTACAACAACTACTTGGTTCTTGTTGGATATCGCCTTTTACAGCCAAAACTTAACACAAAAGGACATTTTCCCAGTGATGGGCCTCACTCAAAAGCCCGAGGAGGTTAACGCGCTTCGCGAAATGTTCGAGACCTCTCGAGCAATGTTTGTAATTGCGTTTTTCGGCACCTTCCCTGGTTACTGGTTCACCGTCTTCTTCATCGAGAAGCTCGGCAGGTTCAAGATCCAACTTATGGGATTCTTGATGATGTCTTTGTTCATGGCCATCATAGGCGCCAAATATGACGACCTCCAGCATAACAAGTACATGTTTGGAACCTTGTACGGCCTCACTTTTTTCTTTGCAAACTTTGGCCCCAACAGCACCACGTTTGTGCTTCCGGCCGAGCTGTTTCCGACTAGGGTTAGATCCACGTGTCACGCGTTGAGTGCGGCGGCGGGGAAAGCCGGGGCCATGGTGGGTGCATTTGGGGTGCAGTCCTATACTTTGAAGGATGATCCGAAAGATATTCGGCGTGCTATGTTTTTCTTGGCGTTTACTAACATGCTAGGGTTTTTCTTCACATTCTTGGTCACTGAGACCAAAGGCCGGTCCTTGGAGGAGATCTCTGGTGAAGATGGTGGCGGCGATCACGAAGCTGGAACACAGATGACTGGAGCCAATACATCGGCAACAACAGCCACGCCGTACTAGGTAGTTAATTAAGGCGTTTGATTAGCTACAAAAAGCTTTACTATTTAGTTTGAAAAAATATCAAATAAATTTGCTCGATACACATGCCTTAGCATACCAAATAAGAGCTGCTTTAAGTGTTCCGAACCTTGAAGTCGAAGAAAAAAAAAAAAAAACAAAAGTTGATCTTGTAGTGAAAGGAAAGAACAAGAAATAGATATAGTTTTGGAGAGAAATGTTTCAGTGTGCTGGAATACGGTTCAGTGCATCAAGTATCATAATATAATTGGTAGAAATTTTTTTTCAAGTTTCCAATCAGTATATTATTACGTTTGATGTAATAAGCCGTATTTCCTGCAGATTGAAAAATCTCTAAAGTTTGGGTGAGGTTTATACTTTTTTACTTTCTTTCTTTCATTTGAATTTCTCGTTGTAACAATACATGAAATGAAAATGAAGACGTGCTTATATGTTTACTGCTGTGATTATCAATTTACACGTGTGGCTGACTTTGACCACTCAAATCACACGTTTCGCGCTCTGCAAACGCCACGTGACGAACCCGAATTCGCTTGAGCCGGACCACCCCTGAAAAATTGAATTAAAAACCCTAGAAAATAAAACATTTTGGTTTTCTTCCTCCCCCAAATTTCCCTCCATGAAATGGGAAATCGAAGAAATCGAGGCAGTCCTCGAGAGGATTTGGGACCTCCACGATAAGCTCAGCGACGCCATCCATTCCGTTTCCAGAGCTCACTTCCTCAACTCCGTCAAGTTCCGCAGAAATTCCGACAAGAAGAGGCGGCCGCGGACCAACGACGCCGCCGCCGCCGATGAGAACCGGGCTGGGTACGTGTACTTGAAGGACTTCCGAGTCGGGCACGACGATGACTCGGCGGTTCGGGAGGCCAAGAGCCTCAATGCGATTCGGACCGCGCTCGAGAACCTGGAGGACCAGCTTGAGTTTTTTCATGTAAGTTCATGGCTTTTTTTTTAAGGGGTTGTTTGGTTATGTTGTGTTTGGTTGCTGAGAAAATTGGAGGAAAATTGAAATACGAGCGACAAAATGCTTGATTAGGTCTTGTGGTTTGAAATGTATTTCATTCGAAATTGGACGTGTAGATATATGAATGCTTGGCTAATGTAAATAAGGGCTCATTCGGACTCCAAATTATAAGATGTTTGTGAGGTTTGCTGCCGTTGCGTGTAATTTAGTTAATTTCTGTTTGGTTGCTGAGAAAAATGGGAAAACAGGGTCGGAAAATATTAAGGGGACAATCAACGTATGATATATGGTTTGTGCTATTGCAATTTTATAAAAGGAAAACTAATGGAAGTGCAAAAAACTTTAGTTTTAATAAAAAATGACAAATAAATGTGTAGTGAATAGAACTAGGAAAAAGTCGAAAATTCATAAAAAAACTTTAGTGTTAATGAAAAATGACAAATAAAGGTGTAGTGAATAGTACCAAGAAAAGGTAAAAATATGGTTTTTCGTTAAAAATGAACAGTACCAGAAGTGTTTCGTTAAAACTCCTTTTTATAAATGCTGCAGTAAATAGGTAATTGCTTGCAGTTTGTGAAATTTGGAAAACTCCTCTGCTTGCTTTCCTTCTATTTACGAGTGATAAAGAGCAGAACACTAGTGATTTTGTAAAGGCAAATGAAGTTACGAATGTGATTAGATGATGTTAGAGACACATAGAACGGGGACTAGTTTCCGTAGAGCAAAAGGAAATTGTGATCTGTAAGGGATAAGAAACACAAATGGTTGTGAAACTGCTGGCAATTGGGCGGGATGCACATCACCTCAACACCTGTTAAAGGTAAATTCTTGAGTTCGATTGTGCTGAATGCATTTCATGTCCCGTTTTGAACACATGCTTAGAAGTTACAGTGGGGATTTGTTGCGTATTGATGACAATAGCATTGCTCTTAAAGGGTGAAATTCTCCGTGTTTTTGTTCATGCCGTGTGGCTTTGCTTGTTAGACTCTGTATGGATTTCAAATTTCATATTGTGGCATATTTCCAAGTTGGATATTTATGTCAGTTGCTTTCTTTTAAAGACTCTGCAGGTGCAGCAGCGGGCTGAGGGAGATGCTGCAATTGCACGCTTGGAGCAGAGCCGTATTGCTCTAGCAATGAGATTGTCTGAACACCATGGTAAGAACTACCAATTTATTGAGGAAGCCCTTGCCTTTGTTGGGGATGTCTGTGATGCAAGTCGTTTAGTATCTCCTGAAAGTCTTTATGGCCCTCCGATCAGTCCTTCTGGTGAGAAGTTGGTGGCCTCCAAAGGGAAGAAGCGTAATATTTTGATCAGATTTCTCATTTCAAGTATCACATTTGTTAAGAAAACCCTTAAGTTGGATAATACGGTTGGAATACTTGGAAATGCTGCGTTGGTGGCGCTTAGTATGATTGCGTTGGTGCATCTGAATCAGGTAGGTATTAAGGAGCATCCACAGAAGCTGGAAGATAAAATCTACATCAACAGAAACGTTAGAAAAACTTCCCCGTCTATTGGTCATTACAGCAACTTGGATGTTCTATTAGCTAGAGGTTAGCTCTGAAATCTTAATTCTGTTGCAGGGAATTCAGTGGTACGTGGCCATGCTGTCGTTATAGTCGTATTTCTTCTTACCACCGGAAGTTTAGAAGATTTTGGCAAGAGTGTAAGCCCGTAGGCAATTCTCTTTCGAACTGTAGTCAAGACAACTTAGAGCTTGTTTGGATGTGCTTTTGAAATGACTGAAAGCGTTTTTGGAACCAATTCTTAGTAAAAATGTAAGTAAATTATGGACAAGCACTTATTATGTGCTTCTTTCAGGAAGCACTTTAAGTGTTTTTGAACCAAAAAATATTTTTTCTAAAGCGTTTTTAGGAATTTTAAAATCACATCCAAATGAGCTTATATGCCTATATGTTCACAGGTCATTTGGCTTCTTTCATTTTATTCAAAATTTGTTGTTTGGCTTCTTTCATTTTGTTTCAAAATTCGTTGCGTATGGGATGAGGAATTTCGATATCTCATGATATCGCGCTTTTTTCCTTCTTTTCTTTTTCTTCGTCTATTGGGAAATTCAGTGTATATCCCAGTTATGGTGATCTCTCGTTTGGAGGGAATTGAAAGCGATTAGTTTTCTTAATCAGTAATTTATCTTTGATCATCAAGTTTGCCGCATTTTTCCAGTTCTTCCTATATTGAATTTACCGTGAATTTATTAGATCTTGCGCATCAAACGTGTCCTGTCTGTTGTCGAAATCAACATGATCCCTATGATCGATCACTGTAAGAAACTATTAGTGAGGTCTCATGCTCTACTTACATCAATGACGAAAGCGTATATTTTTGTGTGAGATCGGTACTAGCTTTAGCAATATCCAATCATCTATTAAATTAAAGAAACTCTCTGTTCAAGTGGAGGGGTTAATTTAAAATATCTTCAATTTAACAGAAATATTTTTCACGAAAAACCAAAGTAATTGACGGTGTGTGAGATCGGTACTAGCTTTAGCAATATCCAATCATCTATTAATTGAAGAAACTATCCGTTCAAGTGGAGGGGTTGATTTAAAATATCCTCAATTTAACAGAAATATTTTTCACAAATAAAACCAAAGTAATTGACAGTGGAGAATCCCGTAAACGAAAAAGATTATAAAAATAAATTACTATAAGCTATGAAATTATGAATTGTCAAAGGCTCAAAGCACTGGCCTCTCTCCTCAAAACTTGGGCCTGGGTGGCTGTTTATACGGGCCCGCCCTGAGAGACTTTGGAACGTCGTCGTCTTAAGTCATTAACGTCTTTGAAGCGCAATTTGGTCAACCTAATTTGAACACGGACTATTTTGGTGGTATTTTTCTAGCTAGTCCGACCGTGCCACAATATTATCACACGCAACTAGGAAAACCAGAACCCATTTGTTGACGAACCCTAGCGGATTTTTAATCTCCATTCTGACTGATTTCAAGACAAAAAATGCTGAGAGAACTCTCTGAAAATCAGACTCTCTATAGACTCTATCACCATTTGATTTTGGCACAACGTTTTACAATATTAGTATATGAATTGATGATAATTATAAGGTGGTAGAGAATCAATCGAGAACCTCACTTTTGAAATAGTTCTCTTGACATTTATTAAGATGAGAAGTATGAATGCTAACGAACGTCTAAACTCAATAAATATATAGTTATGGGAAAGGAGTGCGAAATTACAAAAGGAATAATGTCGGAAAGCTATCAATTCTTTAAGCTTTTTTTTGGGTTGGGGTTGCTTTTAACTTGTTTTATGAGGCAAAAATGGAAAAGTTGATGGAAGGGTTTGAACACAAAATAAGCCTCATAATTTTCAAGTGGTGCGTGTAAACACTTCCTCGTGCTTCCTATTGGATGCATGACTCAAAAGTAAGGTGAAAGCATTCTTTCCTTTTGTTCAACTTTTCTTTGTTCGGCGGGCCCCTTTGTGATCTTAAATTGACAACAAAGATTTTGTGTTTCTTGTAGAGAATGTCAACCAAACGAGGTAATAGCTAGGTCAACTCAAAAACGAAAAAGGAAATTGCATGAGAATTTTGTGTAAAAGTGGGTAACGTAAAATCGAAACTATCTTTCTTTTTCTTTTGAGTTAATAAGCGGGGCACGAAACCCAAGTCACCGCAACATAAATAGATATAAGAGTAGTGGTAGATCGACGAACGTTTATTTCATATTTGCAGTGTTGTTAATAAAAAATAAGCATGTTAATAATTTAATTATTAACAACTACGTTATATGGTTTACAAAATATGATTTAAATAGATAATCTCACTAGCATTACTTGAACTCAAAAGATAAACTTAACCCATAAAGTTAGAACAAATAGTTCTTGACCAAAACACACCAACTAAATCATTCAAAACAGTAGCAGATATTTCGGGAGGAGATCCTAAAAGAAAGGACAATAATCCTACTTTAAAGAAAGACCGAGTTAAAATGGTAGGCTGAAATGCCAAAATTAAATTACAAAATATAAAACAAAAAGATGTGTTTATCTTTTCTTTTTGGAACGATTCAAACACAATATTTTTTATGCACTATATAATGGTTTGGACATGGATCCTCTCCGGATCCAATTGTCCTAATCTTAGAGATCCATCAATTCGGACCGTTGAAATTTAATCCAACGGTTAAAGTTATTAACTTTTAAAGTGAGTCCCTGTTTATAACCATTGAATTAAATTTCAACGGTCCGAATTGATGGATTCCTAGAATTAAGACAATTGAATCTGAAGAGGATCCATGTCCTAATGGTTTAAGTTTTGTACATTTCTTATTTATAAAGTTTATTTTCCTTTTCTTTCTTCTTGTTCTCAAATGTAGAAGTTTTTTTTTTCACAAAGATACTGAGATAAACACGTGAATGCAGGCTCGCACATGTTTATTACAGAAATAATTAAAATTACATTATGCAAATATATATACATTCAAATTATGAAGGCATGCGAACTGCTAAGTTTCAGTCGTCGACACGAAAACATCACAGTTTTTCACGTGCCTGTGGCATTATGATATTGCAGCAAATGTTTATACAAGTGCATTCTAGACATATCTTGTCAAACACCAAGTGTTTGATGTAATGCATGCTAGACATATCTTGGCAATACTCGGCAGGTTGTGTCGATAGCACTCGATGAATTCTCTCAATAGCACTTATCAAATTGCTTCGACATATGCCGAAATCTGTTAATATGTGCATAAAATGATTCCACTGATGACAACAAACCCATAAAGTGTTCGACCAAATGTCTTAGTGAATAAACTAAATTTTTTTACACGCTTCGCGTTTTGGTTTTATTAAAAAACTTAAAACCTTTAACGTTAGGACCCTGCAATGTTGAAAACCTTCTCAGGTGACCAGATCTCAACATCATTTTTGTAACGAATCGGAACACAAAACTGCAAATGATTTCGAGAATAGATGGGTTGGACAAATATTAAACAATTCATAGTCTACCACCTAATTGCTGTGTGACATGCATTAGATTTGGAATTTGAGATGTTACATTAATTTGAATAGAAAAGGCATTGCTTTGGTCACAAGTTTAATGAGTAGATTCTGTCCAAATCAAATCTTCTTACCTGGACCATATGCCCAAGCCACAATTGCCAAAATGGAAGAATGAGAAGGTCGAAGGGTGTGGGATTTTGCAATTCTTCTTATTTAATTAATGTAGAAATTATAAAATTTTATAATCCCATCAATATGCAGAATAATTTCACACATTGTCTCCGCGACTCCGTCACATGTGGCCATAACTCAATTAACCATCGTTGTCGGTAGGTGAAATTTGAGTGCTTTGCCCTAGTGGGGCCACGGTGCTTGCCGGTGACACGTGTCACGTGATAAGCAGTGCTGACTCTTCTTGATGCCTGCCACGTATACACACAAATTAGAGACTGTGGCAATTTGGGTAGCAGAAGCAGACAGAGACCCAATATATATTTTCACGTGTTATGTACCCACCCGTTTGTCGTCATGGTTCAGGGCCCCCTCCTGATGAATTTTGGAGAAAAAATATTTGAAAAGACAACGTGAGGGATCGGAGGGTCGACCATCATTCGTCAACTTTCAACCAAGAAAGTCAAGATTTCCATTAATTTAGCATGATTGGGTGGAGTATATGTTAATCCTCCTAATCACCTTCAAACGATTAAGTAGTAAGGTCCTAGTCCAACTCAACCTAGTAATAGAATACCGGCTTTGTTCCAGGGCTAGTTGTTTCTATTTATTTGAAGATCTTATGGATATGATAATGATATATTTTTGCGATGAATTTGACATTTAGTTATAACTAAATTTGTATTGTTTATTGTGATAATGTAGCTTTATTGTAAGTGCATTAATCAGTTAGTAATAGCATGTTTGTAAATATCTTATCATTTGTTAAAAAACGAACCTAGCTATCAGGTCGGAATTAATTCGGATAGATCGGAGCTTCAACAGTTTGCATTGAAACTTTGATAACAAATAAATAAATTAAATTTACAACTAAATATGTAAAACATATCCCATGCATGTAGCATATAAATGTAGCCCGAAACTATTCAAATATTGATAGATCGGGTTGTTGAACGATGCTAATTAAGTGGTGGCTGTTTCCTGCGGCTGCTGCAGCTCATGAAGACTAAATAGCTGAGTGAGTTTGTTTGTTTGGGGGGGGGGGGGGTGGGGGGGGGGGGGGGGGGGGGGGGGGGGTGGTTGGAGATCCAGCTGATGAAACGAAAGCAAATAAATCAAATGTGGATTTGATATACAAGGACAATGGGCTCCTCTGGTGTGTGTTGTCATTGTTCATTAATTTGATAGACACCAAAACTTGAAGAAAAAAAGGCGCTCAACACGGTGTGAGTGAGAACCCGCCACTTGCAAAACACGGCAAATATACCAGGCATCAACATGCATATGTGCAACTTGCAACTGGTGTCTCTGACATTAGAGCCTCCTCTCTCAGCCATAAAGCCTGCTACTTTTCCCCTCTCCCTCCTTTGCCTCACCCCATTGCCCCTCCAAGTTTCCGGAGAATATCATTTTGTATATTAACTGAAACAACTTTTGAATCATCTTGTTTTTGTAATGCACAAAATTGTGAACGACTGTAAACTGTTTATCACCATGAAATTAGATCGATAAGTTATGTACGATGATCGGCAAACCAAAATCATTTATCTACGTGTGCGAGCAACTGATTCTAACATATTTCGGTTATTAATTGTTCATGGTGAAATATTAACCCGATCCTAGGATACCTTGACAGTGAAGTAGTATTATTCTATTGGAGCCGATGGGATGGGGTTTTAAAAATACTTCCGCAGAGAACAGTACGACGAGTGCGTCCAGACTACAACAAACTGAAGCTATACATGTAAAACGTGGACGACGTTTCCATTGTTTATCGTGCATCTGCTTTTTATCCTAATTATTTACTGGGTTATTCGTGCATCTGCCAAAGTGTGCAGGAAATCTTATTGCAGTTTTATGTCCAGATGCATGATAAACAATCTTAATCTTCTGAATCAATTTAGAGTGTTCGGTTTTCACTTTTGTTTCATCCATTGGATTTGTTATTTGGTTTCTTGCTAGATTGCCATATATTCTCAACAGTCGTCCTAGCTAGTAGTGACATGCA